TGCCTCCCCCCCTCCCCTGCCCTGCACATAGACGTGCCTAGACTGGGTGAGGAGGAGAAGGAGAACTAGAGGGAAGGAACACTGAGTGTTTATTGGCGGCCATGTAAAAAGGACTGTGACCCTCCCCTCCCGCTGAGTCACTCTCTAAGGTAGCAGGAGATGGGAGGTCTGAGAACAGCCACAAGCATTGTGGCTGTGACCCAGGCACCAAGATGGTGCCCATGCAACGGGGCTGAGGAGGTGTCAGAGAACCTCACCCCAGAAAGCCCAATAGCTCTTTGTGTGAGAGAGAGAAGGTGGCAGGGAGGGAGGGAGACAGCGAATTGGACTCATGAGGCCTCAAGGCCGAGATGAGGAGAATATACCAGGGATCAGCATGGACTTGAGCTCTGAGGTCAGGGTCAAGGGCAGCTGGGTGGGGGCCAGCCCAGACAGAAGACTGAGGTCCAGATGTTCTTGACCCTGCTCGGTTCTTTGGCACCTCTGCCTGAGATATAAACTGTCTGACATGGAAGTACAACTCCAGAGAAGTGGGTGGGGAACCTAAGTTAAATAATATTTTGTTTTTGTTTTTTCACTTGGCAGAATGGGGGCTGAAGTTGAAGTTAGGTTTGGTTACTAAACAATAAAGAAAGCAACATTTCTTGCATACGTGACTGTGTGGTCTGAGTTTTCTGCTGCCTATAAACCGAGAAAAAGTTGTAAAATGAAGTACTAATTTCTAGGATTTAGGTCAGAACGAGGAGTAGTGCCACTCAGCCAGAAGCTGGCTCATGTGTCGCCAGTGCAGAGGTGGTGGTAGGAGCCTCTCCCACCTCCGTGGCAGCACTAAGAATGTCCAACTAACTGTTTAGACCTGATCCCTTGGGGGCCTAAGCCTTTAGTCGGACATCCCCTGAGGGCTCCCTGGCTGCCAGAAGGATGTCTGACTGCAAGCTTAGGCCTGATCCCCTGGGGAGTGGGACTAAATCGACAGATGGACATCCCCCAAGGGGTCCTGGACTGCAAATGGGTGCAGGCTGGGCTGCGGGACCCACGCCCCTCCCCCCCGCACAAATTTTTGTGCACCAGGCCTTTAGTATGACAATATATGGCTATGTAGACACATAATACATACGCCAATATACACACACATCTGTACATAGCTACATACTTATACACAATAGTGCCCTCCGGCTTTGTTATATATTACAATTGCCCAAGGAGCTTGTTAAAAAGTGGAGATTCTTGAGCTCCAGTCTGTGAGTCTGGAAGATACGAGCCAGAGGTCTTACATTCTCAAAAAGCTCCCCCATCAGTGTTTTTATGCAGATGATAGACTCACACTTTTTGAAAAAACAGTAGGAAGTACAATTTAAAATGGTATCAGATGTTAAATTATGAATAGGATCCCTCCTTACTGATTGGTAGGGGACAAGAAAAAGTAGTCAAATTTGACTGAGATTCTGAGTCCAGGTAGTTAGGAGAGTAAAAGTAATGTTAACAAAGAATAAAAAAGACTGGGTAGAATAGGAAGATTGGTTTTTAAGCTGCTTTATTAATTCTTTACAACATGAAAAGAATATTTTTCCAAAAACTTGGTGAAATTGCCTTGCTGGACAAAGAGTTTTATGCTGAGACAAAAACATTATTCAATTAGAAACTAGTAAGAGGAAACATCAAAAGGTTTACAGAAAAGTAAATCACAAAACTACTAGCTTTTGGAGTAGAGGCCACATTATTAACCTCAGTGAAAACCTTAGGATTTAAGGTATAAGGCAAAAGTCATAATGATTATCAGGTTCAGGAGTTTGGAAGCGTACAACATGTCTCATTTGCTGCTCCCTGGTCTTTCTCCTGATTTCCATCCGGTGCATTGCGATCTTTTCTACGTTATCTCCCACTTCATTGTGATCAGCACGCTTGTTAGATATGGCCCGTCGAAAATTAGGGACAAGTCGCTTAACCCACCCCAGCCTGACATTTCCTCCAGGTTTCTGGGCTTCGCCTCCTCCCAAATTGCGTGATTCCTCCTCATTCTGCACAAGGGCCTGGTCCGCTCCTTCGTTTTCCTGGTGGGCCTTTTCCATGATGAGATTTTTTACTGCTAGTTCCTTTTTGGACGCCATTGCTCCTAGGAGACAAGAGATAGAAGGGACTATTTCATTGGTGGACTGATCAGCACCGAGGACAGAGGCCCTACTATGCACCTTTCCAGGATTCAGAGGCCTGAATTTCAAAGGCTTTTTAAAATTGCATTTTTCCCGCCAGAGAGGCTCCCTACGCCCTCTAGGGGGCCTCCAGTCCCAGCTCTTCCCCCCTCCCTCTGACTCCCCTCCCATCCCTCGCCCCAAACCCACCATTTTCCCTGCGATCCAAGCCCAGGCCTCTGCAGGCACCAAAATGGAGGACGGGATGGGGGTGGGGTAAGGCTTTGGGGTCTCAGGGCTTTCCACTCATTCCCGCCCCCCGACCACCGTACCCCGCACCCACCTGGGCCTATCCTTGCAGGCGGCTCCTCCTCCCGATTCTCGCCTGGAGCGC